GTAATACATTATAAAAGGGTCTCATTTCCAAAGTATCCTCCACTGAGGCACATCACTAATTCTGTATTATGGCCTTTCCCGGCAAAAAGTTGCTGGCTTTTTTAAAACAAGACTGATGCACTTGGAAGCTGCCTTGCTATGTAAAGTTGATAATAGAAGAGAAATGTTAGTAACTGATCATAAGCCCATTTTTCTTGAGTTTTATGTAGGGTAAGGAGGGAAGTTGTTACTGTTGCAAGGATTTCTCAAAATGTAGATGGTACAAGCTGTGTCACATTTCCAAAGGAATATATTACTACCTGTCCTGAAAATTAAGAGTATAAAGAGGTGCCCAAGGAACAGGTGAAACATTGGCAGGCATTTTATAGTCCAGAATGAAAGCAGTATAGAGTTAAAGCTCTCGGTTACACTAATCCCAAACGGATAGGTCCCTTTACCGTCATTAGCTTATGTGGGGCACCTTCATACCCCTGATATAAATTCTTCAGAAAATAGCATTGCCGCCTTTAGTATCAAGAGTAGCATGAAAGGAACAGCACAAACATAGTGTATCAGGGCTAGCAATAATTCATTCCTTATCTAAATTTAAAATAAATTAGACTTCAGAGCAAAAAAGTTGTCTTGTATTCTGTGCAGGCTCACTTTAGCCAGTGTTTTGCCAGGCACAGTAAGTATGTGCAAGGATGTTGGCTACAGGAAAAACTGGGAATTCTAAAATGCTGCTTTATATTTTCAGAATTTCACTCTGGGGACACTGTAAGCAGAGAAGCTTTTAAAAGTGTGAACAAGGTGATGCTGTTTGGTTCTTTAAAGCAACATAAGCCTTATTGAAATGTCATTTTCAGGTTTGTCTGTGGAGGAAAATTGACCCTAGTGCCATACTGGAATACCTCCCCAAAGTAAGCTACAGCTCCTCGTGGTCACATTAGCGCTGTCTTTGTCAACCACCCTGGGGACAGCTCTGACAATCAGCCCGTTGGCCTAGATTGACTTCTGTCCACAGGTCAGGTCCATGAGATAAAAACTTTTCTATCAAAGAAGCCAGTTCATTTGACAGCATAGACTCATTTGGTAATGGAAGTCACTATATAAGTAGTGATCAAAAGGGTTGCCAGTAGGGGTTGTGTTACAAAGTACTGAATTTGAGAATTAATTCTTCCTAGTGGATACCAACCTGTTCAGGTGGAGCACACAGCAGTTCCAAGCACACTTCAGAATATCATAGCGTAACAGTTTATATTGACTCCATAGGGATGTGTCTTTTCTCTTCTTAAAGAAAACATTTATGCAGCCCTCAAGATCAGACTTGCCTACTAATCAGACTTGTAAGGCATCCACTGTATGGATGAGTCCTGGATCTTTTCTTTTCTATAAAAGGAAAACACCCCACAAGATACTATTGGTTTCAACACTTGTCTCTCTCACATCTTTATGTGTTACTGCTGTTACAGAAATATTGTAAGAAAAATGAACAGCCAACTTAAGCTGTCTAAGTCCTTGCTGGGAAATTAATTTCATCATCTGTTTGTGAATTATGAAGAAAATATCTCTCTGAGGTCTTGGTAAACTAAGTGGTAGGATTCATGCCACCAAACTTTTAGACATCTACGTCTGAGACAGTTACTGTAGCCTCCCTTTGTAACCAGCGATGAAGAAAAGGCATATATTTGAGCATGATTTGGTCCACAAGTTCTAGACAGCCAGTTTAAGAGAAGACAAACTGCACCTTGAAGAGCCTATTTCTCTTTATTGATTATAGAAGAGCCTAGGCAACTAACTCAGCTATAGACATGACCAGTGTTGGGCAGATGAAGTCCCTCTGCTTGAACTTCTTTGTCTCAGCAGGGACAGTTTGTGCAGCAGTTAATCAGTGTGGCTTGTGAATTAGAGGTAAAATTTGTGACTTCATTGGATAGAATTTCCAGTCAGATCGTCAAAGCATCTGGTGACTGGGGAGAAACTGATGAACTGTGACATGAGCTACACTATGTATCTTATCTCAGATTTATGACTCTGACCTGTGTGTCATGTATCTCAAGTGGTGTTTGCATCTTCCAGACACTTGGATCTGGTGAAGATCATTGCTACCCTATTCCCTCTTTACCCCCTTTCTGTATTCAACGGAGGAAATGCTAGCTGTTCCAACACAACCTCATGCATTGTGAACCTGCTAATTTCAATAGTTCATGGTGAAAATACTACATGTGTATGGTTTTGTTTTGTTCATACTGAAGCCATATAAATCCTTATTTGCAAAATTTTTAAAAATGAAGGACAGGAGGACATTTTTATTAATCCTGTAGATAAAAGATCTTTAAAAATTAAATGTATACTGAAGAAACCAATGTTTTCTATGTAAGTGAGCATAAAACTAATTTTATAAAGCTTGACTAAGTATGGCCTGATCCTTTCATATAATCATAGAATTATAAAGTGTTTTAGTTAGAAGGGACCTTAATGATTATCTAGTTCCAACCCCCCTGCCATGAGCAGGGACACCTTCCACCAGCCCAGGTTGCCCAAAGCCCCGTCCAACCTGGCCTTGAACCCTGCCAGGGAGGGGGCAGCCACAGCTTCTCTGGGCAACCTGTGCCAGGGCCTCACCACCCTCACAGTAAAGAATTTCTTCCTTATATCTAATCTAAATCTACCCTCTTTCAGTTTAAAACCATTACCCCTCACCCTAGCCCTACACTCCCTGATAAAGAGTCCCTCCTCATCTTTCATGTAGATCCCTTTTAGGTACTGGAAGGCGGTAATAAGGTCTCCCCAGAGCCTTCTCTTCTCCAGGCTGAACATCCCCAACTCTCTCAGCCTGTCCTCACAGGGGAGGTGCTCCAGCCCCCTGATCATTTTCATGGCCTCCTCTGGACCCACTTGAGGTCCATGTCCTTGTGTTGCAGGCCCCAGAGCTGGACACAGCACTGCAGGTGGGGTCTCACGAGAGCGGAGTAGAGGGGGAGAATCCCCTCCCTCGACCTGCTGGCCACTCTTCTCTTGATGAAGCCCAGGATACTGTTGGTTTTCTGGGCTGCAAGTGCACAGTCCTGGCTCATAGTCAGTTTGCCATCCACTCATACCCCCAAGTCCTTCTCTGCAGGGCTGCTCTCAACCCACTCATTTCCCAGCCTGTATTTGTACTTGGGATTGCCCTGACCCATGTGCAGGACCTTGCACTTGGCCTTGTTGAACTCCATGATGTTCACATACACTGGCCCACCTCTTAATCCTGTCAATGTCCCTCTGGATGGCCCATCCCTTCCCTCCAGCGTCTTGATTGCACCACACAGCTCGGTGTCATTGGCAAACTTGCTGAGGGTGTGCTCAATCCCACTGTCCATGTCGCCAGCAAAGATGTTAAACAGTGACAGTCCCAACACTGACCCCTGAGGAATGCCACTCATCACTGCTCTCCCGAGCTGCTGACCACAACTCTTTTTGACTGAGACTATTTGGCCAGTTGCTTATGCAATGAGGGTCCATCCATCCAATCCTCGTCTCTTCAATTTAGAGACAAGGATATCATGCAGGACAGTGTCACTTTCTGAGTTTCATGAGATGTAATGCTTCACCATGCACTTTTGGCTAGTTCTCTTGTATAGTATGCACTTTTAATGGATTTGTGATAAAAAATGTCTTTATTGCCTTCCTTATTTCTTTTTACATTTTTATTTTCATTTCTGGTTTTAGAGAATATTTTGGGGTTTGTCTTTTTATTAATATTAAAATATTAATGTTCTGTAATCTGATACATATTCTGATTTGTCCTTCTTATTTTTCTGCTTTACTATTTCACTGAAGTGAGCAAGTAAAATGATAATGCCCTTTCCAGCAAAGAGAACTGAAATAACAGATGTATGTTTTGTTACAGAAAATGTGGGCAAACTAAAGAAGCTGGAATATTTAAATGTAGCTTTGAACAACATTGAAAGAATTGAAAATCTTGAAGGTCAGATTTTAAACAAACCATTTTGCCTTTTCCTATTGAAACACTTAAGTTGTGACAGTGTGAAAGAGGGTGGAAGACATTAAGTGTGTCCACCAATAAAGGTTCTGTGTCAATACTCAGACTTTTTTTAGGTGCAGCATTTGAACAAATGCTTCTTTGTAGCAAGTGCTTCCTACTGCTGAAATTTGGTCACTGAACTTTCTTAAGTGTATTTTAACTCACTTTCTGCATACTTTCTCACCAGTGTTGCCAGATATTATAGCTCTATTCTTTAATACTTTACGTAGTGGGAATCCAAATCTTTCATGAAGTTGGTATTTCCCCACTGTATAGGTAAGATAATTTGTTATGCAGGGTAGGTGGAGCAATGTTGTGGTTTTTTTTTTTTTTTTTTTTTTTTTTTTTTTTTTTTTTAAATGCCATACAGGCTGTAAAAAGTCTCTCTTTTGTAATGTTTTAGCTGTCATTTTCATCTTCAATTCAGCAATCAGGTGTCACATACACAAAAGTTCTACTCCATACACAGGTTGCATTGACAGTCTGGGATACTTTTAAAGAGTTATTCAGATTATTCTTTTCTCTGTCATTGCATGAAGTCCTGTTTGGTTTATCTGTGTTCAATCCTTTATCCTGTCAATATAATTAGATGTGTAAAGATCTAGCATTTTCCAAGATCAAAATCTAAAATTTAGAGACACCCATAAACACATGCCATATTACTTGAATAATTTCTGACTTGATTGCTTTCCCTTTCTTGATTCTGATTAAGTCAGTTGCTGAATCTTTAAAATGTCCATCCTGACACAGGAACAATTAAAAGAAAAGCTGTGCTTTTTCATTTGTTTTGGGCAGTGTTTGTTCTGTTTTGGTTTAGGGTTTTTTTTTTGTGGTTTTTTTTTTTTTTTAAGTCTACAAGCTGATTCAAGAGGATGGCTTAAATCCAACAAAAAAATAAGCAAGTAGACTAAACACAAATTTGTAAAAGTTGAAGAAATAGGTAGTACATTACATATTTGGCAACTTGTTGAGAAACTTGCATCTGTATTCATGCCAGTAATTTTTCAGTTCCTCTATCAGGCTGCATTATTTATTACTGTGATTTATCATTTACTTATGAGTCAGAACCATTGGGAGTGAGCCTTGCAAAAATTTGGGTTATTTAAATCCCCTACTAAATCATTTTGAGTTGTTTATTTTCTTTCCGCTCCACTGTGCATAAAATACTTTCCAAATAAACCTGCAGAGGAAAAGAAGTGATGACAATAAGGAACATCAAATTTGGGCTTGCTTTTATTTATTTATTTTTTCTTTTAGAGTCAAGGTTATGATTCAAGGACAGATTATGATAAAAAGAGAGACTGATAAGTTTTGGATCTGAATTACCCAGAGCATTTTGTTAGCTAATTTAGACTTTCTGTTTATAATTAATTGTTTTGGTTAACAAAACACTTTTTCTCACTGGTATTTGTAATTTAACCAGTGATAAAGTATTCACAATAGCCGAGTCCATGAAGTGGAAAACCTCATCTTGACTTGGAGTCAGTTTTAAGAAAACCTTGTCTTTACACTTGAATAACCATAGCTGAGAATAACAGTACACAGAAATGAAACCCATAACTGATCCTGTCTGCTAAAGCAATTAAACACTCTTTTGACAGTATGGTGAACACTCAGTTGAGGAGGGGTACCAAGGCAATCAGACTGTTAAAACTGAACTCCATCTTATCCAAAAATGAAACATTTAATAGCTCATCTAGTATAACGACACTGACCATGAAGTTTTGATGGTGACAAAATCAATAAGTTTTGACAATTTGTATTTTATTGAGATTTCTTTCTACAAATATTGTGACCTCATAAATTTAAGCTGTGAGTTACTCTCACTTGTGGCTTAGAAAAGATGTATTCTGGTAGGATGAAATTAGTACACAGACAACAAATAGAGACAGTTTTATGTGTGTGTGTTTGTATGTCATGTGTACATTTGTGTTGTGGACAAACTGAATTTTTTTTCAAACAGGCTGTGAAGAACTAAAGAAACTTGACCTGACAGCAAATTTCATCGGTGAACTCTCCAGTATTGAAACCCTAAAATATAATATACACCTGAAGGAACTGTTTTTAGTGGGTAACCCCTGCACTGAATTTGAAGGTTACAGACAATTTGTAGTGGCAACTCTTCATCAATTAAAAGTAAGATTTTAAAAATCAAGTTTATATCCAAATCAATAATGAGTATTGTTGATAACGTATTAATTCCAAGCAAAATAAATGCCTGTGATAGGAAAAGTAGTATAATTTTTCTTTCTGTCCACAGGAAATGAAATTCTATTCTGAAGAATGTGACTACAGTAAATAATGTGATAATAAATTGGTTCTGTTTTGAATAAACCACATGCATTTGTTACCTTTTCTGTAATTTTTATTGGAGATGCTTAAAGTTTTGAAAATATAAATACAATGTATGTATTCTAGTTTCTTTCTTATTCGTTTTTATATAAGCAATATATTTTTAAATTGTTTTCATGATTGCAGATGATTACCAGGTTGTTGGTACCGCACCAACAATATGTACCAAATCAACAGTGTAAGGCAGTAGAAAGATAGAAGTAGATGTAAAGATACACTGTGTTGCATCAGCAGAGATACTTTAAGATTGAGATTTTGTGCAATGACTGAACTGATGTAATGATTTTCTGTCATTGACACAGGCAGCCCCAGTCCTGAAATATGCTTCCACAATTTCCCTTGGAGAAGCACAGACGCTTGCTTAACTTATTAAGAGTAGACTCAACTCACTTAGATGTCAATTAACTAACAGATCAAAAGAAATAATTTTGTAGTAGATTCATGAGCTGAATCAAGGTCAGACAAATATGAGAAATGGTTAAAGGGACTCTCTACTACATAGTCTAATAAGACCAATTGAAATTCCTAGAAAATGCAAAAAGCATCTCTCAGATACATAAAACCATTTTCAGATTTGAATAGCAATTTATTGTTAATTCCTTTTAATACAGTATAACTACTTAGTGCTGTGGAGGTTTGAAAAGGTGTATTTTAAATTTTATACAGAAGGTAATCTATCAAAATTAACTTGCATTTTAATGTATTTATTGATGTGAATACGTTTAAAATTTCTCACATATCTACATTGATTTTTTTTTTTTCCCATTGGGAAGTGTTTGGATAGTAAAGAAATAGAATGTTCAGAGAGGATTCAAGCACTTCAAAATTACCCAGAAGTGAAACAGAAAATAAGAGAACAGGAACAAGCCTACCTTCTCAAAAGGGCCAGAGAAAAAGAAGAGGCTCAAAGAAGGATGCAAGAAAGAAAGGACAAGAAACAAAACCAAATGGAATCTGAGCATGGATTTGACAGGTAACAGTAAGCAACAACAGTTTGGGAGTAAAAGTCATTCTTCATTAATAATTTTGGTTTTCGTCATTAAATAGTTTATATAATTTCATTTAAATATTTTTGTTTGTCTTTATTGTTGATTCTAGCAGAATTATTTCTCCTTGTGCATGTTAGCTCTAATGAAAAATATAATTAATTACAAACATAATTAATTACTGACCTGTAGACAGTACAATAGAATTTTTGTCCCAAAACTCCAAGCTAAATTGTCTGGTTGCCAAAATAGTGTAATTGATAGCTTCTTTCAGAAGAACAGCTGGAAATTGTTATTTAAGTAAATGCAGGGGTTCCAGAGAAAGCAGCTGTTCACCTGTAATTTCTTTTGCTTTAGAGTTACTAGATATGAGGACTGAATTGGAATATTGCAGATCTTTTGAGATGTAAAAGGCTATGGAATATTGGTTTCTATACTTCTTTCACCTAATATCACTGAGGTTACCTAGACAGCAGAAGGATTTTTGTCTGGGGTCATCATCCACTGCAGTTGCCATCCATCTTATTTTTAATGCAATAGAGACTAAATTCCTTGGATCTGGCTATGGAACTTTGTCCTCATAGATCATAGCTGTATCATAAATTTAGTTTTCTCTCTGTATTGATAGAGAATTTCTGAAGATTGCAGAGGCTTAGGACTAGGGGGAAAAATGATTCAGGTTCTGTGATGGCACTTTGAGGAGAAGCCTAAGTAAAATATTGCTACCCTATAAATTTCTAATCTACTGCTACCTAATGTTGGGAATACTTAAACATTACATGGACTGAGGGTTTTCTTTCACCTGGAAGTTTTGAGGTTATCTGAAAATTCTGCTTCTGAAATGAAATCTGTTGAACTCTTTATCTGAAATTTCAGAAGGTTAGCCATAACTATAGTTATGCATAGTTAGGCATAACCCTAGTCATGTCTTAGTTAAGTCAATGAAAAATATTATGTTGAAAAATATTTTCTGATTGATGAAAGAAGCAGAGCAGAGAACATTATCCAAATATATATTGGTTTTGATAGGAATTATACAGCTATTGGGTTAAAAATATCTTATTGCAATAATTCACTAGCAAGTACTGTTACTTTTCCTTGGTTTAATTGTGATAATTTTCCACATGATCTTGTATAGTCCAGACTCCCTACAGGACAAAGAAAACCATCAGGCAGAAGGAGATGGAGAACAAGAAATGTGGAGAACAGTTGAAGATGATGAAGAAGACAGAAGATTTTGGGAGGAGCTTACACCATATACTCCAGAATCTAGATTAGAAACTCACAGATATATTGAAGAAAAACGGAGAGCTAAAGACAACATAAGGTATATTTTTGTTTTAATATATTCTATGACTTGAAGAAGTGAAAATTTTCAAAGGTACAGAGAAGAGGTAGGTGACTGTCTCACAATAAATATTATTGAGAACTGACAGGTTAAATCCCTGCTGCCTGTGCAAATATGCTTATAAAATCTGAATGAAATATTCAGATTGTTCATTTGGTTTTGTTTAATTTTCTAAAATTTATGATACCCTTTATTTTGTTTTTCCTCAAAGTTTTAAAATATAATTTCACTTTTCAATTCCATTTTATGGACTTTAGAAGTTTCACTTTTCTGTCAGCTAAATATGTTTCATGTAGTTCAATGTTTAATGTTCTTGCAAAAGCATTTATCCGGAGTACAGATTGCATTATATAAATGCCCTACAGGCCATGCTACAAAATTTTTGTACAAGTGACGTTTCAGGTACCTTGTCTATGTGACTTAGAAGTTTTTTCACATACTTTATTGAAGATATTCATCCTGAGTAATAAAATTCTTCATGTTATCTATGCAATTTGACATGGTGAATCTGAAGATATCTGGGCTTTAAAAGTTTCTAAAGTTGTCACTGGTTTTGCCGAACATGGAAAATTAATGCAGATGCTAGTAAAAAAAGTTATTTTATTGCTGATGACTTATCAGTTCCACAAACATTGTAAGTAATGTCTTTTTTTTTTTTTTTTTTTTTCTTATATAAGAGCATTTGTACCAGAGATTTTTCTAGCTGTTCTTTTTAAGGGCATGAATTTTAAATGACTTATGAAGCTTAAGCATTGAAAAAGTCAGTCCTAGGGAACTCTCCAAGAAATCTGGAAATCTGCATAATGTGTTGCTATTATTAATTTAAGGTCTAGCACTTTCCCAGAAGAAATACTGTGAAACCCAGATTCTAGCTAGTTAGAATTTTGATGTGTTTAGGGAGGCCTTGGTCTAGTCAAAAGCAAATATGTTCTAAATGATTTCTTCTAAACATTCAGGGAGAGTCCAAATAGCATTATAATAAAGACAGAATAATTCCTTTCTAGATTTTTCTCATTTTCCAAGGCATTTAAAGGAGTTAAAAATCCTTTCATGGTTCATTTTGTTTTGATGGTGAGATTTTTCTTTGGTAGCATGAGAAAGATGAGAACAGAAAGGTGCCCCTGACAACTTCAAATCATCCTTGCTGGTGGACAGGAGCTGAAATGTAACTTAAATATAAGTTACTCCGTATAAAAGGATGTTTATTTTAGTATAAAATTGACATGAACTCAATCAGACCAATGCTAAATTTGAACCTATTTATGACATGTTGGCACACAAATTTGCCAGCTGTGGGTATAGTTGAATAGTTGATGATAAACTGAGCGGATTTGGCTATTGCAAAATAAATTAATACATCAGTTTCATTCAAAGAAAATTCAGACAATTATAACATCAGTTGCAGGTGAAAGATGCACAAGGTCTCCTTTAGCTGCTTATTTCCAGAACAAGACTTTTCAGCTCATCTCATCACAAAGTTAAACAAGTTATCTTAAACTCTAGTCATTATGATATGACTGAATTTTCCTTAAAATGGTTCATGTGAGCAGACAGATTTCAAGCTAAAAGGTGGTAGGATATAATTTCCTGACATATGTCTGAGAACTGCATCTTTACAACAGAGTGATGGTTCATTCACTTTGCATTTAAGTGTCAATAGTAGGGAATCAGGTGTAGAAACTGCTAGCCCACAAATCCCATGTTAAAGCTTGGAACAATACTGTAGAATAGTATTTAACATGTGCATAGTTGTGAATCTTTCTTAAGCAGTTCTTTTCAGGTAATCATTCCAGTATCTCCACTTGAATGTTTTTATTTCTTCTGTAAATCCACTGTATTTATAGACCAAGTATTTTGAGAAACGAGGGTTTTTTATATGCCACCTGAAGTAGCCATACACTCTGTGCTGAACATCTGAAAAGTGGATTAATACAAAGTGAAAATTACGGTGCTGTATTTTTAAAGAAAACATGGCCGTTTTTTACCTAGGTGCAAGCAGATTTTTCTTTTTCGTGTTACTAAGATTCCTTACTCTTCCTCTCCTTGCTCATGATCTAAACATTTATACAGGAAATACCTGTACTACAAATCTTGATTTTACAGTGATCTGCTTTGTTTTGGCAGGTAAATTTAAGGTAGCTTGTTTATTGCACTAAATGAAGGTCAGATATAGTTTAATTGATGATAGCTGGACATAGATAGTGAAGATTAACGTCTCCATCTGTAATATATATTGTAGTTTTGAAGGAAGAACACCAAAAAAAAATGTAACAGATGCATCAACAAGTAATCTATATGTATGCACTTTGGTCATACTGTATCTTATTAGGTGCTGCTTGTAATCTTTTGACCATTATAATTCTTTTTACTAATGCAGAATTGTGACTGATAGGCATACTATTTAGAGATAAGCCAAACATTTGTTCAGTGAAAGTAATTAAGTTAGCATGAATAAAAAATTTCTTTAGAGTTGCTTGCACATACATCAAACCAGTTAACAGTAATGAAACCTTATGATTAGTATGAACATTTATAACTCAAAACCCATTCAATTTCACATACTTAGGCAACCCACTGATTTCTTAAGATACACTAAATAAATCTGATCTATTACTGTTTGATAATGGACACTGTGACATGCAGAAGAAGTTATTATCAATGTAAGACGTGATATTACAAAGCATTGGCTTATCTTCAGATGATGCTTTTATTGTGCAATTGGACATTTGATTTAATCTGTCTAGTTCCTGAAATAAGTTGTAGCCTTAACATCAAATACCAGCTAATTCTTACCTCTTCTTGCCATCCTCTTCTTTCTTTTTTTTGGCTATTAAACATAAAATATCAGAATGTGAAATTATAAACCATTTTTCTTTCTGTTTTGTTAAGGGAATCAAAAAAGAGAGAGAAGTCTCCTTGGAGATTGGTCACTGCCGAAGGAAAAGTTCTGAATGTGAATGTGCCTAAGTATGTAAGGTTAAGAGGTTAAACAGGCCAACCTCTTTATATTTGCTTTGAGCATCTATTTCAAGATATATGATAATACAAAAATAAGAGGGCTAACAAATTATCATTGCATTATTATATTCCTGGTGGGAAAACTGACTTCTAAATTTATATTCTGATGTTGGAAGAAGAGTTAATTTTCAGTGAGTGAAGTGTTGAAAGTTGTTTAATTTAACATCTTGATCTTTGATGACTGAATAACTTGTTTTTCTGTAATAAAGTTATAAAGTTTTGTTCTTTTCTATGGTAAGGCTCTCTTTCTTGGAGTGTTGTGCTAATAGTGGAAAAAGTTTACCTGGTTTGACTACTGAAGATAAATATCTAAGAGTAGCCACTTTAAATGTGGAAAAAATTAGCTGCAAAATCAAAGCTAAGAACTTGCATATCGTTAGCATGAACAATGCTTTCTAAATCTTGGAAATTTATAAATCCATGCAAATTCAATAAATTTGAAAACTTACATTATAAGACCAGTGCATAATTTTCAGTGGTATAGGGAAAATTAAAGGTAGTGTCAGAAGAACATGTGCTTAATCCATCTGTACCAGAAGATACTTACCATTGTATCGATGTACTTTTTTTGTAAAAATTGCTGGCTGAAAAAAATTTTAAATAATTTTCCAGTTCAAAGAAGACAAGTCTAAAATAGTTTAAATCTTGTCTTAATAGAACTTGATTATGCCTCTAACAAGCAGAGACATGTAGAATAAAGCTCTAGCTATCTTTTTAGAAGAAATGCATTCCCCTAGAATCCACAGTTAGTAGCAGTCCTGTTTGTGTCATCCAGGTTTTCTGGATTAAAGTGGTCTGTGAACGTAAAACCCGAGCAGTTTTTGTCGTGGCTTCAACAAGAATATCACAGCTCTTCAGAGCAATCTGGCAGTGTATCGGAGAGACATAAATAAAGAGATACAAGTAGACAGATGGTGTTCTTCAAAGTTTTTGCCTCAATGTGAAAGTATTGTCCGTGGCGATGTCCAGGCTTCTCTGGTGTTCTTTTTGAAGGTTAGCAAGAGGAATGGCTACATGCTGCTGAGAACAGGCTATTTCTCTCCCTCGATTCTGATTAAGGTGCCCCCGAGAAAATTTTACATTTCTTTTCTCTTTTTCACCCTTAATGTTTTAGTGAATTCTCAAAATTTGTCATGCAGCAACAGAAAAAAACATGAACGGGAAACAAAACTGGTTTGTATTATTTGCAGTTTTCCATTAAAAATTACCCATAAACTAAAAGCCCTGTAAGCTTTCTTACAGATTGACTGTATCAGACTACAGGAGAGCAAACAGTAGAAAGTATATCTGGCAAATATTTTTATTGCTGAAAAAAAAATATTATCAAAATGTTAGCATTTAATCTTCTTTCTGTTACCTGAACCCAAAGTATCTAAGTATTTTAATTAAAACTGAAATATTCCAGATAAATTGCATTAAGAAACCCCTTGCATTTTATACTAATAACTAATTTATAAAAATCTGCTCATTTACAGGTGGGTTTTTTCTTACTTTAATACATGAGAAATGTTTTGAGTATATGAGCAGAACTGTAAGTCTAGACTAGATCTCCCTGCAGTTTTAGTAATAGATGTTGTTTTCAATTTATAACTGCTAAGATTCATTCACAATTTTAAGGACTCAGCCAGGAGATCACAACCATGCAACTAATACAATCTATATTCTCATTTTCAACAAATAAAGCCTATAGAATTGAGGATATTGTGCAAATCATGTATTATTTTGGAAATGCATAGGCAGATATTTATAGTCTAGGCAAATTAATTGCTGTGAAAAAAGGATGCTTTTTTTTTTTTTTTTTTTCCTCTTGTGGCTTGGGTGGGGAGAACAGAAAATAAATGTAAGAATTACTTTGGTTCAAACGCCAGTATTTTTTTCTGTTCATGAGGAAAATTGCAACTGTTTTTAAAATGATCACGTGTCATATTGTCTAAATGGTATTTGTATTCAGCTAAAATTGCTAGCAGTTGAATTTGAAGTTTGCCATAATATTTGCTTATTCACTCTAGTTGTATTTATCCTGGAGGTGTTTCTTGTCATTATTTTTAGGCTTCATTTCTCTTTGAAAGATGATGAAGAAAATAACCAGATCATCCTGGATCTTGCTGTTTACAGGTCAGAGTTTTTCTTTTTACTCTTAATTTTTGCCACTCAAGTTCTGATACACAATGTTTCATTTATACTCTTCTCTGTAATGGGGACTTTTTATGAGGAAAACAAATACTGTAGGGGGTAATGGAATCAATCTTGAAGCCTATGCCAAAGAAATGAAGCTGAATAAACCAAAGACCCTTCAGACTGTTCTGTGACTCCTGAATAAGGACTGTGTCCCTTTTGGAATTGATGCTTTCTGCAGGTTTCCTCCAAACCTGTCCTTTTATACTTATGTAAAATCTTTTCCATTCTTCATTTGTAGATTACGGTTATAGGAAATGGGGGTTTTGCCCATTCTCTGGCCCTAGAAATGGTCCAGTACAATTCATGTCCTTCTAGTTAAGTTCTCCTCCCCAAGGCACAGTAGGGTAGCCTTGTCCTACTTTCCTTCTTTACTGGAAAGAGTCCATGACTCATACTATTCCTGAACTGCGCCAGGGCATTGCCTGGAAGAATTTTGGTTGAACCAGGCTAAAATATGACAAGGACACCTGATAACTGTTTGATAGTATATACTACTAAGCTATACAGTGGCCCTGCCCACACTTCAGGAAGGGGTTGGAAACCCACAAGCTAGTTTACCCATAATAGGAACTTGTTAGACTAAAGCTTGAACTAGTTTTATAGCACAAAACCACTATTCATGCCAGTTGTTCTTCACTTAAAGCTCATTAGTTTTCCTCAAAAGAGGCCCTCTCCATGTTTCTGAACCATAAGAATTAGGTTTGTTCGGAACCTCAGAAAATCTGTTCATGTGCAATAAAATGTTGGATATGTTGTAATATTCTGTGCTCACTTGTAAGAAATGCAGACTAAAAAGTTTGAAAAATTCACCTGAGAAATAATGTTATAAAGAAGGAAAATAGGGAAGACTTACTTGTGTATTCACATGAGTGTATGTGTCACATGATGAAGAACAAATGTTAAAGTGGAGATTTTAAAGGTCACGAATTTTGTTTGTCCGTACCGAAATGTAAAAGTACTGTGTTTTCTGGAAATGTAAAGTATTTCTGTTCATTGTTTTCCAGCAAATTCTGAGAAATAAAGAGAGCTCATTATATATTTACTAGTTAGGTATTCAGACAGAAAAGTAGCAAAATACTTTTACAATTTTAAATAGCAAATAGATTAATTTTTGTATTAGTGTAAAGCACTAAACTAATAGAAGAAAGACTTTTTTATTTTCCAGAAAGATTTTGAATTTTTGCAGTTATACAGTAGGTGATGTGGTGGACTTGACAGAATTTAGACATCAATTTAGTCATTTAATTGATATTCTGTGAACATACAGGAAGATCATGTTTTTCTTCCAAAGACATTAAATCCTGATTATATTTCATATAACTTAATAAGTGAAATTGAAGTGTGTAGTTTATAAACTGTGAAATCATCACTAAAGAGCTATATGATCTGCACTGCTTATTTACTGGTCAGTATTGTAGATTAATTTATGTGTTTATATTTCATTCTGAAGACATTTGGACACTTCTCTGCTTGATGTTGATGTTCAGCCAACTTACATACAAGTACTGGTGAAGGGAAAGGTTAGTATATTCTAACTAAAATCATTTCAACTCAAGTGTTAATAGTTATTCAGTGGACTCCGGATCTGACTTTTATGAGTTACCAACCATGTGCACCTGTGGAGAAAAAAAATGTTGTTTCATACTTTTATTATTTTGAACTAAACTGTGGAAGCCCTAACCAGAAAACATGCAAAGCCTGAAATGAAATTTCACTCTCTTTCCCCCTCCTTCTCTTTTCCTATTCCCCACCCCGCCAGTGTACCATAATTCACTTATGAAGAGAGCTTGCTAGTTGCCCTAGGCTAAAATTTAGCAATTTCACAATCTGGAATTTATAGCTGACAGAAACAAATGGATGTATATTCTTTTGAAGGAGCCTTTAAAATGTCATTCCAGTTTTCTCTCTTCTAAGTGGTTTTAATTTTGTCATCATTTTTTTTTTTTTAAAAAAAAGCAAAGTACTTAAACAGAAAATGAAAATCCTTATTTTTGACTGTACTAACTGCATAAATAAAACTTCAGAATTACTTTATGTCTAAAATAGACTGGATAATCTTTCTCATTTATTTGCTAATATAAGTCAAGTATCATTTTATAACCTTCTTTAGAAATGTCACTTCAGGAATGACAGCAATTCAGGAATATACATATGACTATACTTGTAAGTAAAAGCTGTTTAACATGATAATAATTTATTAGTATTACTAATACTACATGTAAAGTGAGAGGATTTAGACCTATACTGTCCTGAAGATCAAAGGATGCAATAGTGATGTTGCTGCAAAAAAAAAAAAAAAAAAAAAAGAAAATAGAAAAAAAATCATTATATACTTCAATCCCATATTTTCTTATAGCCTTTTCAGTTTGTGCTCCCTGAGGAAGTGAAGCCAGATAGCAGCTCTGCTAAAAGATCACAAACAACTGGTCATTTAGTTGTCAGCATGCCAAAGGTATGTAAAATAATCTTGAGGAGTCATAATACAAAGATACTTAAATATTGTGAGCACTTTGGGAAAGTTTCTGAGTTACAGGTAACATCTGGCTAGCTAAAGTTATTAAGTCTAGCCTTTCCCATCAGGACTTATTTTCAATAGAAGGAACATTCCAGAAAGACAAATCAATCATAGAGCCAAACCTTAGGATTTAAGATCCCTTTAAAGGAACATTAGGAAAATCCTTTATTTTCCACAAAACCAGCTTTTTATATATGAAAAGAGTCTCTGCAAAACATGCAGAAGATGGATTTTTTAAATAATTGAAAATAAGCAATTTACCTACTTTATCTTTCCACTGGTGAAATAATAAAAACAAATCAATTTTTCAAAACTTGTGTGGCACACATGTATGAAGATTATGTTTTGATTGAAGGACCAGAATGATGTACTACTCTCGTGTCTCAGGTGATCAGAACAAGAGCTGCTTAACTTTCTCTGCATGCTCTCTCTGGCTGGAAGGGATCTACTGACCAGATGTACGAAGCACATAATCAATGAGCAGAAGAGTTGTGCCAAAAGGGTGTTTCAACTGGAAAATGCTGCACAGCAGTCCCTAGTACTTAAAGAAGCATGGGTAGAAGTCATATTCTCCTAATGTTCCTAACTCTGTGCCCTCCTATCTCACCTGTGCTCTGATTTTTGCTAGTGTGGTGGTGTGATGATTAGGATTCAAGTCAGCTGAGAGTTCTGCTGCCTTAAAGTGATTTTTGTATTCTCTCCCCTGCCCAGCCCAGGTCTTGCAGTGTAAATGAGAGCAAACTGATAGGTGTGTCCACTTTAGTTCCTCTCAGTGTGTCTTCCTATGGTTTCAGTAAATGTAGCTTGCACCCTAGATAGAGATTAGAGAAGGAATGACCAGTAATGAGGAACAGTTGAAGACATAGAGGTCAACTTATTCACTGAAGTAAGGCAGTGAGAGGGGTAATGGGTGGCCAGCCAGCAGCCAGTGGAAGTTTTGGGAACATTACAGCTTAAATATGGGGAAGATGAAGCAGTGTGAACCAGAATAAAAGACAAGAGGCAGAGAGAATTTGAGTGGCAGAGGTATCTTCAGGTTTGGGGCATAACAGGTGGGATGGTGGCAGAAAGAGGAAGGCACTTAAGGTGGAACTTGATATCATCTGGTGCAAGACTGAGGTTTTGGACCTGCAGGAAGAGCAGAGATGGATTGAAGGGCTTGGAGCAGACAGGGAGTTGGAAGTTTTAGGAAGGTAGAGTTCTGGATACGAGAATGGATTATATGGTGAGGTTCTGGCAGCTGTGGGAGAGGTTAATCAACTTCAGCATCTTGCTCTTCTGCTATTATGCCTTTGGGGGCTGGGCTGCTTTTAAGGCCTCTAGGACTACATAATATATTTTTGGCTTTCAGAAATAAGGTAATCCTGCCCAAGGATAGTTATAGGAAAAAAATAAATTGGTGCTATATCCTTACCCTTCTGGCCTCTACTGAGTTTCTCTGCTGTGTAGGAGCAGTGGGGCATGGTGCTACATACAAATCTGCCAGGGTATATCAATTACAGCATTTTCTTCTGAAGGAGGAACCTTCAGCTGCTATTTGGGGTCATTTCTTTCTCTTTGTGCTCTGATTTAATTCTCTCTGAAGGAGGAACCTTCAGCTGCTATTTGGGGTCATTTCTTTCTCTTTGTGCTCTGATTTAATTCTCAGACTATGCAACTAGTAGCTGTAAATAAAAAGTTATTTTTTAGCTTTTGGCTTTTTCCACTTGTGGTTCTATACCTTCTATGTTTTCTTCTGTGCTCCAGTCCCTTACCATCTGTTTCTCCCTACATGGACAGCCTCTCACTAAATCACAAACCGTCACTCTAGCATCAAGCATGCAGTTACACCAGAGGCTTGAAGAGTTTTGAAAATTGTACTAATTTTGTTAAGATCCATATTTTGTTAATGTTCAAAATTCAGTCCTATATGAATTCATGCTTTCCTAAATTTATTTATTTGAAACTGAGGCCTTGACATTTGCCATTTTAGATATCACTTTCAAATGTTTCTGAACATTTTTGTTTACTTTTTACTTGTCTTTTGGGTATTTTAAGTACTATCAGTTTTCTATCCCATGACCTGCTTTTATTACTCATATGTCTTGCCAGTCTCTTTGTGGATGATCAGTGCCTTAGAAAATGTAAATATTTCAGAGTCTCTGGATATCTTCAACTCTGTTGCCTATGTAGAAAGTCATACCTAAATCAGCAAAATGAATATTATCTCTTCATATTGTGGTTGAGAACTGCCTTTATTGACTTTATATTTCACCTACCTTGATATTTTAGCTGCATCTACACATTTTACCTAGCCTGAGGGTCTGGAGCCTGCTTCATCTCAGAATGTCATGATTCGCAGATCTTTGTGAGATCTGGGGAGAGAGAAGCTCTATAGAATAACTGAGTTGATGTTCTGAGTTTTGCCTTGTTTTCAGTAAAAACTACTTGTGTAGCTGGGACACAGAGATACATGTATGAATGGAGTGCTGCATGGTCTAATATCTTCATTGTCAGTGGATTCAAAAATTTGAATCCTGGAAAACAGCTTTGCAGAAAAGGACCTGCGAGTCTTGGTGGTCACCAGGTTGAACATGAGCTGGCAATATCTTCTGCCAAAAAGGCTAATTACATCCTGGGCTGCATTAGGAATGTTGCAGCAGAGGCAGAAGTGGCGGAAGGCATTTCTCCCCTCTATTCAGCATTGGTGAGAGACACTTGGGGTACTGTGTCCAGTGCTGGGCTCCCCGCTACAACAGAGACATGAATGTACTGGAGAGAACTCAGCAAAGGGCCACAAAGATGACTAAGGGACTGGGAGCATCTCTCCTATGAGGAAAGGCTGAAAGAGTAGGGACTGTTCAGCCTAGAGAAGAGAAGGCTCAGGGGGGATCTTATCAATGTCTATAAATACCTGAGGGTGCATAGCAGGATGGAGCCAGGCTCTTTTCAGTGGTGCCCAGTAACAGGATCAGAGGCAATGGACACAGACTGAAACACAGGAGGTTCCCTCTGAACATCAGGAAACACTTTTTTACTGTGAGGGTGACTGATCACTGGCACAGGTTGCCCAGGGATGTTGTGGAGTCTCCATCCCTGGAGATATTCAAAAGCTGACTGGACACAGTCCTGGACATCCTGCTCTAGGTGGCCCTGCTTGAGCAAGGACCAGGTGACCTCCAGAGGTCCCTTCCAATATCAACCATACTCTGAGTCTGTGATCCTGTGAACTTCATGGATTTGCTGACCAAAGATGGATCTGTGCTATTTCATTGCAATTGTGTGTAGCAGATACTAACCTATTGTTCTTTGTTCTATATTACAGTTACAGAATCTATTCTCTTACCCCAGGACTGAATTAGAGTGCACAAGTTATACTTTTGGGATACATACCCTTCTCAGATGCTCTCTATCCATACAAATTTTATTGATATTAATAGGATGTAAACTAGGAGACAAAGTATAATGTATAAAGATTAGCAACAACTGGAAGGCCAATAGATACTTTTCTTTCAGAACATTATGGCTGAGGTTATCAACAATGTTTGAGAATACTAATTTGAGATCATCAACTTAATATGAATTCCATTTAGTAAGATAATAGGAAGAACAGGGTTCATGCCACTTCTTTCAGGTTGTATCAGTGATAAGACAAGCCTAATGACTATACTGCACTATATTTAACCTTGATCCTGATAAACAGTTATTATAAAAATAAAATTATTTGCAATTAGGTAAATGGTCTAGCACATTCCTTACGTAACCAAAATGTTAAAAATGCTATTAATCTAAAAATAGTCTCCTATAATATGCTTCTTTTAATACTGTCCTCAAAAGGTCTCTCTCATCTCAGTAACAGAACAGAAAGGTAATTGAATTCAGTGTTTTTTACCTGCTTTAGTGAGTTTCTGATCAGATTACTAAACCTTTCACCGTTCATCTTGCAGTCTGTTCATAGTTTCCTAGCCTTTAAGAAAAACAAAACCTTTTTCCTTCCCTCTGATGACTGACCTTGCCATACCAGAGATGTTGGAGATAGTAAATTCCACATGAAGTAAAAGAAAGCAAAAATTTTCACCTTCTTTTCTAGAAACATTTTTCTTAAATGTGCTATTTACTGCACAGCAAATCACTGTAGAATGGGTATCTTTCTAAGGCAGTGTCCACCAACATTTTTTGGAAGGTCATCAAAACTGAAGGACAAAACATTCAGTGAAATGATATAGTGACACTTTTAAAATGTAGTGTTTATACTGTAACAACCATCTGTACAGAGATTTTGCATGAGTAAGGAGATGATAGTGATTATATTGTACATGCTTCATTTTCTGGGAAAAATATTTGTGAGATGAAGATTTTCAAACTTTGAACCTCTATGGTCTAGCAGTGTCACCTTTGTAGATGATGCAGAAAAATTAACAACTGAGAGTTTCTTTAATAGACTTCCACCAAAATTGACATATGAAATCACTGATTTTGTAAAATGTCATCAATAGATTACACATCTAATATTTTAACTAATGTCTGAAAAAAAGCATCAAAAATCAGTGTTATTAAGTAGATTTCATTTAAGATTCTGAGACATTTTATGTCATGTTTTAAAACTCCACTTTCCTTATTTTAGTGAATCAGAGAGAAAAAAATGCACTTTCTGATTAATTCTTTATTATATAAGCAGTCACAAAAGAATTCTGACAGCTTTTTATTGCCTGGGCCTTCAAAAGCATTTAGAAATTTAAAGATCAATGAGAGTTAGATTCTTTAATTAATTTACAAATAGGTCTATATTATGCATGTCAGTGTAAAGGTTATTTGATAGAATTTAATTGTATAATTCTCACTTATTTAGGTATGGTAAATGCAGTAATATTTCATTACTGACAAGGCATGTGGAGGCATACAGCTGTGGAACCCTAGAAATCTATTAATCCTTCAGAAAAAATGTGTTTCAGGGAAACTCTGTTACTCAGTGTAGTTCCTACTGTAGAAGAAGCAAGCCACTATAGGAAAAAAATGAGGACTGAAAAGATAACTCAGGTTAAAAATACTGGTTTCACATATTCCTTCTGTTTTCTCAAATATGTTCTAGATGGTATTTAACACATCCATTTCTAGAATTCTCTGATAAAGATCTTAAAAGAGCCTTCTTTTCTGTTTTCTGATTCATGCAAATATTAGCAATAGTTTCATAGAATAACTTTCAGAAAGCTTCATTATATAATATTTAGTCCATCTTCCCATATACCACAGGCTTTAAATTTCATACAGTTGTCTTTCTACTGAGCTCAAACTCTTAGTTTTGGCCTGAGTTGAAGCTATGGCAGTTCTTGATCACTGTCACTGAGATGGACAGTCAGCTAGTGGCTTGGTGAAGCTCACATACCACTGTTGCATATGGACTTGTGTTTCAAAGAGAACTAAAATTAGAAATTATCACTTAAATTTTTTTTCTTGAATAGAAGTAGGTAGACATCTTGTGAAGAAAATAAGCTTTATGTCAAACCATATTTCATAATGGACAATGGATATTCTAGTAGGCAAATCCTAATCCTTCCCTAAATTCTAGGATCACTTCTTCTTGCCAGTGAAACCTTTTCTGTTGATTGCAGAATCAGCAAATTTCCTCACCATCCTTGCTGATGTGCTCTGAGGGCAAAGTAAGGAATTTGAGTCTCAAGGGGATCAAAGGAATGAATTATTGTTAAAAGAACAGAACACTAGAGGGGCTCTTGAGAAGAGAGGGAATGTCCAAACAAACAGACTTCACCAGAGTATACACAGAATCAGAGGGGATCAGTCTTTTCACAATGAATCTCAGAAACGAACACCAGAAGCTACAGGGTCTGCTTATTTCTTGTAGGTTTTAGGACAGAGACATTAAATTCACCAGGTTTCTGGAACAGATTACTTTAGAAACAATTCCACTAAGAAATATTCAATGAAATTAATATTAAGTATTTGGTATAGTTCCTGTTCTCCTCCTTCCTTTCAAATGCTTAAGGGGTCCCTCTCCCATGATGCTGTTAAGAAGGGAGAGATATTCTTTTGCCATGACATACCCTTTTATCAATAACACATCTTCCAAAAAATGGTGATGGACATGTTTTCTTTGTGAAAGGGAATTCACTTGGACTTTGAACTTGAGATTCTCTTTTAGCAAAGGACCTGAGGGAGGCTTTTTGTCACTTGTCCGTTTCATAAAGAGTGAGAAGTCCAGACTGCAGTAGATTCTTTAATAAAACTGTCTGAACTAGCACATGGACACCAGAACTGAAATGCAAATGAGAGGTACATCCTGAAACAGTTAGCTATGGAGAAAAGCAGTAATGTGCATTATTAACATGGTGCTAAACAAGACAACATTTATTTAAATACAAATAGATGTAAATATTTAAATATATATATACTCATATATGTGTTTGAATAAATTCAGTTCAGATCATTGTTAAAATTCCCTTATGCATGTGTTTCATGCTGAGTGAAGAGTGTTAAGATCTAACAGAAAAAATGACTCAAAAAAAAAAATTTTAGACCCTCTTAAATTTTCTATTTTTGACATATTATTTAAATGCTTGTGAGCATAAATATAATTTTTATCGTAATTGTTTTTCTGTCTACTTTTATTTTAGGCTAAAGAAGTAATCCTTGCTAAGCAAAAAGTATCAACTTCAATTAAACATTCTGACTGCAATATGCTGAAAAAAAATGCAAAAAGGTAATTCCTTTTTTCTTTTGCATTAGTTTTATTTTTTGTCCTTGTGTTATTCACATGCCAGAATATATACTTCAGTATATGCCATCAGTTTTGCTTCATCAGCTCATTCAGATGATTAAACTGGTATATACTAAAACTAAACCACCTACTGAGAATTGCCTCTGCAGAGCTCCTTGCTGTGTAACCCAGGTCTGAAAACCATTTAGAAAGCAATGATTGTGAATCTCTCTCATGAATGTATTTGCTCACTGGTATACAGATTGAGCTACTGCACTAATAAATAGGTACAAAAAGCAATTTTGCAAGGTTTTATAACATAGATCTATCTATTAAATGTGATGTAAACTCTATCTCTTGAAATTCTCGCAGTGAATGACTGCCAGAAGCAAACAAATATTAGTGATACATTATTTTTTATTTTTACTCTTCACAAGTAAGAGTTTTACTCTTAGTCACTGCTGTAGATAGACACTAGGGTTGATGGGCACTTGGCCTAAGTACAAATATTATGATGTATCTTTTAATATTTTTTTTCTTGCTATAGGCAATAGTATTCATACCAGAATAAGATATAGTAACAACAAACTTTGTTAAGCCATTTATCTGTTTATATTTGAAGTGTTGCATTTGTTTTCTTATTTGATTTCATTGTGGTGGACGTTGATGGAAAGGCTAAGCAGTTAGTAAAAAAACAGCATTATGGATCATGGGTATCCTTCTTAGTCTCAATATTTAGGACACTGGCAAAATGGTTCTGCAAAAGTCAGTTGTCATTAATTCTGCTATCATTTTTTTTTTTTAAATAAAAATCAGTCATGGCCTCTTTTCTTGCATGATCTGCATGATAAGAAGACAATAGGGCAACTGCAAGAATTTGCTGAGATTCCTAACGAGCCACAAGCACTGCACCCTTTCCTTAGCAGCAGTGATTACAACAGTGCACCATCCTGATTACTAAGTATTAAAATATTTTTAAAAGGTCCAAGCCAAATGATGGATACTTATCTCCATGATATTTGAAAAGTCATGGCAGTCAGGTGAAGTCCCTGGTGACCTGAAAAAGGGAAATATTGCACTAGATTTTAAAGAGGGTAGAAAGGAGGACTCTGGGAACTACTAGCTGTATGCCTGGGAAGATCATGGGACAGATGCCCTTTGGAAGCTATGCTAAGGCTCCTGGATGACAGGGAGGTGATTTGAGACAGCCAGCATGGCTTCACCAAGTGCAAGTTTTATTTGGCCAACATAGGGGCCTTCTGTGATGAGTGACTACATCAGTGAACAAAGGAAGAACTACAGATGTCATCCATCTGGACTTCTGTAAGGCCTTTGACATGGTTCCCCACAACATCCTTCTCTCTGAATTGGAGAGATAGGGATTTGATGGATGCGCTGTTTGGTGGATGAGGAATTGGATGGTTGCAGCCAGAGAGTGGTGGTCCATGGCTCGATGTCCAGGTGGAGATCAGTGTCCCTCAGGGTCCATTTTGGGACTAGTGTGGTTTAATATCTTCATCAGTGACACAGACAGTGGGATTTAGTGCACCCTCAGCAAGTTTGCAGATGACACCAAGATGAGTGGTGTGGTTGACATGCCTGAGGGATGATGCCATCCAGAGGGACCTGGACAAGCTTAAGAAGTGGGTCCATGCAAACCTCATGATTAACAAGGCCAAGTGCACTTGGGTGAGGGCAACCCCCATTATAAATACAGGCTGGAGGATGAAGGGATTGAGAGCAGACCTGTGGAGAAGGACTTGGGGGTACTGGTGAATGAAAAGCTGGACATGAGCCAGCAATGTGCAATCACAGCCCTGAAAGTCAACCGTATCCTAGGCTCCATCTAAAGAAACGTGGTCAGCAGGTCGAGGGAGGGGATTCTTCCTCTCTACTCTGCTCCAGTGAGACCCCACCTGGAATACACTGTCCAGCTCTGGAGTCCTCAGTGCAGGAAAGACATGGACCTGTTGGAGCAGGTCCAGAGGACAAAAATGACCAGAGAGTTGGAAGATCTCTGCTATGAGGACAGGCTGAGAGAGCTGGGTTTGTTTAGTCTGGAGAAGAGAAGGGTCTGGGAACACCTCATTGTCGCATTTCAATACTAAAAGGGAGTTTATAAGAAATATGGATTCAGATTTTTTTTTTTTTTTTTTTTTACAGGGCCTGTAGCAACAGGACAAGGGGTAATGGTTTTAAACTAAAAGACAGTAGATTGAGACTAGATATAAGGAAGACATTTTTTATCCTGAGGATGGTGAAACACTGGAAGAGGTTGCAGAGAGAGGTGGTAGATGCCTCATTGCTGGTGACATTCAAGGCCAGGTTGGATGGGGCTCTGAGCAGCCTGGTCTAGTGGAAGGTGTCCCTGCCCATGGAAGGGGGAATTGGAACAAGATGACCTTTAAAGGTCCTTTCCAACCAAACTATTCCATGATTCTACTTTCCGAAAGGAATGGTTCTTTCCCACAGGAGTACCGCTAAAGCTTTAGATAATTTAAATCAGTTTTTTAAAAAGTCTTGTCTTTTCTCCAAGTGAAAACTAGACCTTCCTTCGTTAGATAAGTGACATTATCTCTCCTTCAAATGGATTCTGCCAAACAGCGGAAGAGTTAGCAATTTGTGGATTAGGATTATATATTTCCTTAGAACCCTCTGTGTGTCCTTACTTTTGACTACACAGTGAATATTTAAATAGAAGTAATAATGGAAACATGGAAGTAACAGAAGTAATAATGTGAAATGGTCCCCTTTCCTGGTAGCTGATGAACTAAAGATACTCCATGGCATAGCAAAACTCCCAAGAATTTGTGTTGGATTTCAGTGCAGTTTTAAGTAATTACAAAGACGCTTACTGCAGATTTTGAAGGAAAAATACAAATTTTACTATTAAAATTTTAAATTAATGTATATCACAAAAGTAGAAGTAGGGAAAAAGTCTTTGGAATTATAGTTCTCACTAAAAATAGTAAGTTTTGACCTCTTTAGTTGAAAAGTTGCTGACTAGCCAGATGTTAAAAATTTGCTGAATAGTTGTCTCTTAGATTACAGAAGAACATTCATTACAGTGATTACACTTGACAGCTACAGATGTCTTAGCTAAATGCTGTCAGACATGTAATCTGCTTAGCTGTAATGCAGTGCTTTAAATCTCTAACTCTTCTTAGCTAGATTACATGATGATATTATCATTACTTCGGCCCTGTAAGAGAGGTTTCTTCTGTGACTATACAAAACTGTATTTCAAGCCTTCAATGAGACAAGTTTCTCTGGGAGGAATTGACAGATTGATTTATTATACTTATAAAGCCTCTATTAATGTAGTAGCCGAATATGCCATTCTTTACTGTAAGTGGCCTCACAATTCATCTGTGAAGTACAGAAGTTGTGTTTACCACAGTTGCATACGTGAAATTTAGATACAGGTAGGAACTGACTTTTCTGAAGTCATACTGAAATTTTAAGAGTAATAGTTACATAAAGTCAATCAACCTTGTCTCATACCCTTGGTTTTAGACTATTCTTCCTTTATCACATTGGAAAAGAAGAAAAAAAACAAACAAACAAACAACAAACAAACCACCAAACTCAAAATGTCTCTGAATGTAAATATATAATACATATACTTGAATTCCTCTAGTGAAGAAAGATACCTAAGAATACATGAGAGAGACCTTTTTCTGTCTGTGGTGTTTTTGTGTTTTGGGGTGTTTGTTTGTTTGTTTGTTTACAGTAGCTCTGTAGAGGTTGATAAATACAGCCAGAGAATGGATTAATTTGAAGAGGCAGAAGAATGGAGCAGCAATTTCTAGGGTATTTCACAAAGCAGAATTAAAAACAAATCAGCAAGTTCTGTCTATACACATCTGTTATAATGAACCAAGGAATGTAAGATAGAGGTGATTTCTGTTTGAGTAGTTTAAGCATTGGGATCTGACTGCTATAAGTGTCTTTCTCCTCTTTGCTAGGTAAGCTTGCGCTGGATGACTAAGCCAGCAGGTGATGTAGAATATACTGTGCAATGTATTAGGTTAGAATTACTTACGTTCTACTGGAATCAGTTCTTAGTGGCAATATGTAATTTATAGCTAAATTTCACTAGTTGGGAGAGACATCAAATATATAACATTGCCTGTAAATTATGTTGAACTTGGATGTTTTTAATCACTGTATTGGATTTTAGTTCCAACATTTTTCCAGCAAACTTGTCATCATGACTCATTACCAGAACTTCCTTTATGGTTTACAGTTTCATAGTGATGAAGAAGCATTAATTTACTTTCCTTGGAGAACTTTTTATTTTTATTTGATCATTTTCCATTTATTAACAAGCAAAGAATAAAAGACTGAATATTTTAAAAAATCTCTATACTTGTCTCGCATGAGATGTAACACTGTTGCTGTAGATGAGACATACTGCAAAGCTCTGATTTACTGGATGACCCTGATTTAGCTTGATTCTGGTGGAGAAGGTGCAAAGAACAAATCTGTGGGAAGAATCTGTAGTTGTAAGGGTAATAATCTGTTTTTGGGAGTGAGGAGTCCTAATCTGGATCCTTGAAAGAAACCTCGTGAAGTGTGAGAATACTCCCTTTCCACAGACTTAATGGCTGAGGATCTCTCCCAGTGTTACACTTTACAGTTTACACACAGAAGGATAGAAGTGTGACAAGTTGGATAGGAGAGAACTTCATGTTGCAAAGAGAAATACAATAGAACAAAATGAGTAATCTCCCCAAGACTGGGAATAAAAGGTAAAATGAGGTCAGAAATTGAATGGAGTTGTAGACAAACTAACCCGAAAGAACTGCAAGAGGATTTATGTGATCTTTCAAAGCCTGAATTAACTTCTGTGTCTAAACTAAGCACAAATATTTTAACTTGAAGAAAGCTACATGCATCCAAAGTGTGGCCTGAAACAAAGATGAATAAATGTGTGGAAAGATCACAAATGGCAAATCAGTTATCAGTTCTATTGAGATGTAATGTTTTCCTTCTATAAATGCCTGGGAGTAGGTCATAAATCTTGAGAGTGGAATAGGTCTGCAGAAATAATATTTTCAGGCTATGTAGTTAGCTGTCATGAAGATACTGAGGATTTTTACAATGCAAGTTACATAGTCAGAGAAAGGAGGAATTATAGGAATTGTAATTCAATTAACTTCTTAAACCAGAAAGTGGAGTCAGGTATGACTAAGCAACATAATAAAAAGGGTTTTTTACTGAAGTTAGTCTTAAAGTATAGATTCATTTGCATTCTCATGGAGGCCTGGAGCCAAAGTAGAGGGTATACATCTCTATCATTTGACTAATGAGGAGAACAAAAGCTGGTGTGCCTCAGAAGTGACTGAAAATTAATTTGCACACACAGGTGTTTGCTAATCCATAACTGTAATAAGGGTGAGGAGACTTCAGAACATGTCTTTCTGGAGAAGAGCATTTTCAACAATACTGTTCAGTTAACTCAGTCACTACAATCTGAAGTAATCTTCAGTTGTCCATATGTGATGAGCAACAGACTGAGGGCACTTTAAAGGATCTATAGCACTCCATAACTTTGTAAACAAAGTCTTAACACTTTGTTAGAATAAAGTGTGTTTTCACTGTAACTCAACATTAGGGACACAACTTTGACAAATTTAACAGTACTTTTTTTATTCTGGGTTAGTCAAGAAGTGAAAATAAGATGATAGTATGGCCAGACCTAGAAATTCAGAGTCAATTTGCATACTGCAGGTGTTGGAGCATATTTCTTGCTAACAGACAAGGTCAGTTTGAAATGTATTACCCTGAAGTGATTGTGCAAAAGAAGGTAAGGGATGGAACATTGAAGTTGAAAATGTCACAGTGACTATGATTTTCACTCTAACTTTCAGATAATTGGATCCTAGTGTTATATATGTTCTCAGTCTGATTAATCCTATTTGTGAGATGTATTTGTCCTTTAGAACACAATGACTGAGATACAATCAGCCTTTTATCAGATTTTTTTCCCAATGATTTGTTAGTTCTTCTTGATTGTAATTTAGTCCTTGAAAACTGAATTTGATTCTACCAGCTATTGTGTATTCGTATCTTCCTAATGATCCACTGATTCTGAAGACGCCAGTTATTGCTTCATTTCAGATTACACCTATGTAGGGAGATTTGAAAGGCTTTTATGCAATGAAAGAGGTATTAATAGTCCAAGTATTTATAAAACCATGATTATTTGCTTAGATTACCTAGAAGATTTTTTCTAAGCCTGTCTTTTCAAAAGTTGAGACCAGAGTATGGCAGGTGTCACACATTCACCATCAGTTTTTAACATTCATAAATAAAGATTTGTCTTTCTCAAAGGTCTTTTAAATAAAATATAATTCTATATACTGAAATCACTTTATTTTCTTATTCAAGAGAAGGATTTATTAGTACTTTTTCTAAGATGATAATGTCTTTTGTGCTGTTTCATTTATAATGTTAGAAGACTGGAAAAAGTGCCTCTCCAAAGCTGCTGGTTGTGACTTGTAAATATCTTTGGAAATCCTGATACCAGAAAGGAAACTTTAATCAAATGTCAAAACCCATATATGCTGGATCAAACATATAAGAAATCTTTAGCAATCTAAATTTTATTGAAACTCAGAGGTTGAAATAGGGGAATGTAACTGTGAAATAATTAAAATATCAAATATGGGGATTAAGAATTGTGTGAACAAAAGTGTAAATTATCAAAAAATATCAACTTATCAGCTACATGCTCTGTCACACACCAGATTGTTCAGCAGGCTGCTATAGTTATGCAAAATGGAAGGACAGACCTTCTTTATTGTGGAGTCTTTTCCTTTATTAAAAGCATTGTTCTATGTGGAGATAGAAATAGCCTTTCCAAGGGAAAAAAATTCCAGGAAAAAAGAAAGGATTTAATCCAGTATTAATGGGTTTTTTTGTATGGTGCTCTAATCTTTAGACCATAGTTTTCCATTGAGTGGAGAACACTCAGCAGCAGGTAGCAGTGCCAAAAACTGTGAACTTCATTTTTTTTTTAAACCTGAAATTGAAATAATTTGCAAACATTGAGGTTTCCAGACACTGTTTTCATCACTCTTGTTTTACTGTTGCTGGTAGAAGAGCTTCAGCAACAAGATTATTTTTATTCTGCTAGGTAGAATTACACTGAAAAAATGTTCAGATGACCTAAAACTCATTCTTTCTTCCAAAAATTTTCAGGTGGTGAGTCTTGACTTCATCAATACCTGGCTTTTTTTTGCATAGATTACATGATGAGAGGAGCAGGTTCTCAGCAGATATATGTGTCGTAGCTGCACAAACTTCAGCATAACTGAGGCTTGTCATCAGCCAAATTACTTGTATCATGGTAGTTGAAACAGCACCATGAATTTTTACTAAACAAATATATCATGTGCATATAAGTACATAAAAATCCACTTCTTAGAAAAAAAAATCACCTATTTATTCTCAGTCTTTCCTATTGTCTGTTGTTAATAGATACTTCTATATAACATGTGCTGATTAAATTTTGAGAATGACTGGTGTGTATAATCCTTTCATAGCTTGTTGATGTGGATTGTTACTTACAACATTCACTGTTAATTTGTTGCTGATGTATTGAAATTTATTCTTCTACTAAGCAATAAGCTATTCAGACTCTATAGAATTTATTGTATTTTCATGACTAGCAATTTGCACAATTTTAGTCATTGAACAAATGTAAAATACCACTACTAATTAAAATATTTTAAATCAAGGAAAATCTTTTCTAATGTGATGGAAGCACAGGCTGAGGCTAATTCATTTTCATATTTATGCTTTTTTAGCTTTTTCAGAGGTGTTTCAGATTACTGATTAGATTAAGATTCTGGACAGGATGTATTCTCTTAGGGATCCTCACAGCTACTTATAAAGTGATGCCAGATCACAGCACATTTTGTAAATTAAAGAGGAAATATCTCTTACCTTTTGGGAATGAACATTTTCTAGAATGTTGCCACAAAGTGAATCCACTTTAATTAAACTGTGTAGTATAAGAAAAAACCTAACCTTATAAATTGAAGAACATTCAGGGTAAAAAAATAGGAGTTTTATTGTATCCGTCTTCATTACCTATAAATTTTTCCTCTGAGTAATTTCTGTTTGTGCCACTTTGTGGAAAAGGTTCTCCAAATTATTAAAGAAGGGTGTCCCTCTGGTTGTTTTCTGCTCAGCAAAATGATCAGATAATTCCTATAGCACAAGAAAAAAACAGTGGCATAAGACTGAAAGAGGTGTCTAGGCTGATGACTGCCTCTTCTCTTAGACATGCTTTCCTCAGTGTAGCATGCGGAGAGGAGGAAGCCCCCCCAAGTCCCTCTGCATCTCTCCTTCTCTGGGACCGTAGATCCTGCACACAGATGTGGCTGGGATGTCTGCTCAGACCTCATGAGGCCTTGATGAAGAACTGCAGAATTTGGAAGCTGCTTGGCAAAACTCTGTTGTAACAACTAAAGATTGTGTATTTTCAGTTAAAGATCTTTTAATATACTTTATTTACATACTTTCATTACCTGTGTTGTCATCAAAGAGATGCATTCCTTCATCCAGTGACTTTGCTACCTTTTTATTTTGTTTTGTTCTAGTTCTAATGAGTCTTTCTGATCTCCTGGGTGAACATATAGGTTTTTTTCACATCTTTGAAGAGTGACACACTATCTTTTTTAAGGCTGAGCTTGGAACTTTGACCAAAAGTAGCACTCAGTATAAAATGAAAATTAGTATGAAGATGTACAAATCCTGTTGGAATATGCAGAAATCAGAACATCATTGTACAATAAAATTTCCATTTGCTATTTTTTCATGGAAACAGTTACAAATTACTTGAAAACAGGACAGATTTTTTCCATTTAGTTGTTGAGCTCCTCTATCAGAAAAGTGGCTTTAAATGATGCAAGACAGAAAATATAATAATATTTCAAATCTTTGATCATCATGTGATGTGGGTAGGTTCCCTTAATGAGTGATCTGTACACATTTCTAAGTGTGATCTAGAAGAATATCCTTAATAGCAACAGAATCTGGAAATTCAGTTATAACTATGACCTGTTTTATAATTTCATCTAATTTTTTTTCATAATACAAACATGGTGAGGGTTCATATTGCCAAAACATAAGTTAGCTGATAAAAGCAAATAAATTAATACAATTACATTTTCTCTCTAAATAAAAGTATTTCTGCTTTCCAGAGATGCATCTGTTACATACAAATTAATAGACAGCTAGTGTGAACGAACTGTGTTAAAAAAGTACAGAAAGAAAAAATAATGAAAAAGCAATTAGATTAAAAATCCCCTGTCTTACATCAAAAGCCAACCATTTGTAATGTGATATCAGCAATCACCGTGTTCTGATAAAAAGCAAATTACAGATGTCAAAAAATTAACATTTGATGTTCATAGGCTAAGGATTCCTTTGTACAAGATCTTAGAGATTTTGTAGTACTTTTCTGTGGTTACACTAAGTTTTTGTATAACAATCAGTTTTCAAGTTACAAGAACTCTTAATCCTGGTTTAACTGGACTCACTAACCACTCTCACACTAAGAGAACAGCTTTATAAACAGGCACGTTCTTTTATATTTGACACTGATTCCCCCCCCCCATTTATTTCCCTCTTGTTTCAGGAGTGGACAAGTCGAGAAATTAGAAGTGGATCCTAGTAAATATTCATTCCCTGATGTAACAAAGATAATTCAAGAAAAGGAGCGAATTGGACAGGGACCTATTAGTTTACAACCAGAGAGAATTACAGAGACTAAGAAGAGTTATACTGATTTTGAAAATAATGAAGATGTTCCTCCCTTAATTTGAAATATTCTTAAATAGTCCCTCTGTATGGCAGGTATGCTTGAGTTGTTTTCATGCCCTGAGTGTAACCATAATATAGCTGAAGTTGAAAATATTATTACATTTATCAATAACTTGGTTATGTTTGTGTTTTCCGTGGTGTTTTCTGTTAATATATTACTATATATATGACTTTTCTGTTTTACATAATAAGTCTCAAATCAGAAATGGTAACCATGTAAGTCAGACATTGTCATTTCTTCAAAAATTTACTGCCTAGCTTGAAAGATGACATATTTCTGTAGAAAAGGAGAGAAGGAAGGAAGAAAGTACTTGTAACAAGATTCATGATTATTCTCACTAAAATGAAGTTAACAAGAATCTCTAGGTATTCCTTCAGTGTTTTTCTTTTTCATGAAGGACAACAGTAAAACAAAACAATGTATTCTGGGAGTGAAAAACATTGCTGTAACCTACCACATATCAGTGAATTTTCCAGCATAATGCAGAGCTCCTGGATTCTGGAGATAGCCTAACAATCCACTCCTTGAAGATGTTGGGGGAGAATAATGCTGAACACAGTATCTCAGATGTGGCACAATGGGGAGAATGTACGGAATCAGCCTGACTATTATTCTTTTTCATGCAGCTACTCTAAACTGTTCCATCTTTTTCAGGATCCCCTAAAAATATCAAGGTTAATTTTTAGCTGTTGGATGAAATAAGACTGAGCATCCGTAATTGGATGAACTGCTCTTTCTCTACCCAGAAGCCCATTTATCAACCAGAAACTCCATTATCGTATTTTTTCCCTATTGCTTCAGGATTGTCCCATGAGTGAAACAGGTAGCATCAAAGAAGCATATACTGGTTTACATTAGAAAATTATTGCAATTTGGCAATTTTTTTTTTTTTTTTTTTTTTTTTTTTTTTTTTTTTGTGGATTTTTTTTTCCTGATTTCCAGAGAAAACAAGACTCATGTCATTCTTAGCTCTGCCTTTGAATGCCATTTCTGTTATTTTCACCATGTCTGATGGAAATGTCACAGAAATACTCAGCTCCTCTAAATTTAGTGAAAAACGTTGCTGCATAGTAAAAGGGATTCTCTTGATGCAACTGTGTTTGGAAGCCATTGGGTGTCCTGACAGTAGCCAGTTAGCTAATCAACATGTTGGTCATTGAACTCTGTGCATACTATCATTCTTGCCTAGGTGGTAGTTAAACAAAGTAGGAGTCATGATGACAGGGCTCTGGGAACCTGGGGGAAAGCTGAGGAGAGTGTGGGAAGTATTTAGGAAATATGGTTAGACCTTAAGTCACTATGGACATCAAAGGTGAATATTGAGGAGACAGTGGAATTTTGCAGAGGGAGGGTCACAACAAATATTTCTGGGTTTAGTGGTTGTTGAAATGAGGAATATGCAGGGCATAAATGACATAAAACCATAGGAAATCAAGCCTTGTTGTCTACAAAACAACTGATTTAAGGATATATATGTGCTTGAATGTCTCTTTTGAACTTTTAGTTGGGCAATGAGCATACAATACCATAGTAAAAAAAAGGTACATTGTTTTTTTTACCAACTCTAAGGTTGTTACTTCAACTGTTACTTCAAAGAGAAAAATTCAAAGAGCAACTCCAACCAAAAAACCAAATTGAGTGACCTATACTGATACCGAAAAGCCGGTCGAGGAAAAACTCTCTAACACTCAGAATCAGAGCTTTAGAAAGCAGGCATTCTTTACTGCAGTGCTGGGTGCACGGGGGATCGCTCCTCCACAAGCGTGCACACCAAGCCCCTCAGATTTACCACTTAAATGCGGGTACCTTATACATATTCATAGGATTGCACAACACAAACATACACATTAACTATTAAGGCGTGGTTAGTCCAAAACACTTTATCAGCAGTTTTAAAACAATCATGTCACTCTTGTGCCTGCGCATTGCCTCCAGGTGGTGGTCTTCAGGGGTATTCAGGAGGAAGGCCAGTAGTCTTCCTCGTCACCTTTTCCTCAATTTTGACATTGCCAGCCCCTAAAAGCCGGACCCCTCTGACTAAATCCTTCGTCACCCACCTTATCTGAAGTGGGATGTCTGTTATCTTCTGTTGCCAGGGGCTGGGCCTAATCCTTTGGGTCATACAATGCACATTATCTTCTGTCACCATGGTTCCACATCTTCTGTCCTTGGGGCCTTTATCTATGTTTATGAGAGGTTTTTTCTTTGTTCCTACAGCTCAGAAACTCCTTAGCTTAAACAGACAACTCTTAGGCCTACTACAACCATTTTACTAGTTATGTGCTAAATTTCTTAACATTTCATATATCAATATTACTTTGCTAATGGGTTTGAAACTGGTTTTCTGTAAAGGAAGATTGATTTGGTCCTGCAGAAAGAAAATGTGTCTGATTCAAGCCAGCTTTTCCTTCTAGCCAAATGGGACAGAGCAAGCGAATTCAATTCAAGAAGAATTAAAGAATATTTCGTGGTTAGATCTTGTTTTCATCCTTAAGGTAGAAAATTAATAAGCTGCATTTATAACTGAATCACTAAAACTCCAATTAAAATATGTTAAGTAAGAGTCTAGGTTCGGATAGTGCCCGTAATGTCCCTCAGCACATAGTCAAGTTCATGAGATGTTCTTTGAAAGTGCTGTATACCTAATTGTGAAAACCATCATGTAAAAAACTCAGCAGTTATAAAGGAAACATTGTTATTAAGTTCTGAATTTTTTTAGTCTTTCTAAAGTGCTTTTTAAAGTGTTCCACATATGTTTAATGTAAGATAAAGATAAATAGTCTTCCTTAAAGTGTACTGAAGAGAAGCAGAATATATCTATCAATTTAGGCTGACTGGTTGAACTGATGCATTTTCTTTGGTTGGAGTTTGAAATGGACATAGGATAAAAAATGAAGTTTCATACTAATGCTGAATATGCTCACTGAGATCTGAAAAGAAAATGTATGTATCACAAAGACATAAACCAAAGCTGAATCTGGGCATCATCTGATCTGTTGTAGTATCATCTTGGATTTTTCTTGCTCACTGACTTGATTTTTCCAGTTCCAGAATAAATTATTCCATGATATAAGACTCTCAGTCCTGAAATCTATTTAATCAGCTCTACTCTGGTAAATGGAGTATAAAAACATCAGCTTCTCTTGCAATATATCCCTATTCACTATAAATTCCTAATCATGCAGGCTAACTATGAAAAAGATTGTATTAAGTTTTACCTCTTGATGTCACCAAGGGTGCATAAGGATGACTATGGATCGTTTTATCCATTGCACATCAAAACATCTACATTTGAGATTGTGTGGGGTGTCCGTGCCCAGGCGCTGTCAGGGGCCGGGGGAGAGGCCGGGGCTGCCCCGTGCCGGACACAGCCGGTCCCAGGCGGTCCCAGGCGGCTCCAGCGGCCCCAGCCAGGACACAGCTGAGCCCCTCAGCCGAGCTGGGGGCGCCCGGGGGAAACCAGGTTGGAGCAAGGGCCAAAGGCGGCCCAGGCAGAGGAGGGGGAAGCCGAGGAGGGAGCAGCAGCAGAGGGACCCCGAGGCCGGAGGAGGAGGAGGGCAGGAGGTGCTGCAGGCCCGGCGCAGGGATCCCCTGCAGCCCTGGAGAGACCCCGCGGGAGCAGAGACCCCCCCTGCAGCCCGGGGAGGGTCTGAATATCCTAAAATGGTGTTGTTTTATGTAACTGTGTAGCCCTAGAAGGAAAACAGCCCTTCACAGCCTGGCAGAGAAGGACTTGGGGCTACTAGTGGATGGCAAACTGACTATGAGCCAGCAATGTGCACTCACAGCCCAGATGGCCAACCACATCCTGGGCTGCATCAAGAGCAGTGTGGCCAGCAGGTGGAGGAAGGGGATTCTCCCCCTCTGCTCTCATGAGACCCCACCTGCAGTGCTGTGTCCAGCTCTGGGGCCTCAACACAAGAAGGACATGGACCTGTTGGAGTGGGTCCAGAGGAGGCCACAAAGATGATCAAGGGGGCTGGAGCACCTCCCCTGTGAGGACAGGCTGAGAGAGTTGGGGGTGTTCAGTCTGGAGAAGAGAAGGTGCCAGGGAGACCTTATAGTGACCTTCCAGTACTTAAAGGGGCTACAGGAAAGCTGAGGAGGGGCTCTGCATCGGAGAGTGTAGTGATAGGATGAAGAGTAATGGTTTTAAACTGAAAGAGGGTAGATTTAGATTAGATATAAGGAAGATATTCTTCACTGTGAGGGTGGTGAGGCCCTGGCACAGGCTGCCCAGAGAAGCTGTGGCTGCCCCCTCCCTGGCAGTGTTCAAGGCCAGGTTGGACGGGGCTTTGGGCAACCTGGGCTGGTGGAAGGTGTCCCTGCTCATGGCAGGGGGGTTGGAACTAGATGATCATTAAGGTCCTTTCCAACCCAAATCCTTCTATGATTCTATGAAAACAGACAGCAGTGTAATTTTCAACAGTCAGATAAGCAGTTTGTGTTTTGATTCCTTTAAAGTCTGCTTTCTTTTTTTGTGTGGAAGTATGAATGTTGCTGACCTTGAGATGGGTGAAGAGGAAAAATCACAACCTTTCTGAAAATAAAAATCCGTAGATTTTGGTAGGAGATCCAAAAATTTGCTTCCTGTAGTTTTATTGATTGCTGTAGGGATTTTCTGGTGTTTCTAAGAGGATAACACATTGAAGACCTTCCTCTTTCTTCATTGCTTATTTCTGGAAATCTTGTAGGGTCAATCCACCTTTCAGACCTTCAGCCAATTTGAATAAACCTGTCAAGAGTTTTAGAAGGTTGTGGAAAATGGGCATCCATACAGCCTGGTCTTATAATATTATTTCATTTTTTCATAAGCAGAGAGCTATAAAATTTTACCTCTGCTGTCAAACCAAAGAATAATACAGTTGGATCTTCCCCCATTCCAACTCAGATCTCTTTTTCATCTACTTTCTGGTGAACAGATAAAGTTCTGGTTTGGGAAAAAAACCCCAACAACTGTATTGAGCTACAGTTACATCTCGTAGGAAAATTAATAGCAGGTACCAAACTATACTTGGAACTACTAAAGAAAGACTTAATTCATATGGTACTATAATCTTGGAATCCAGTCTGAAAATGGAGTATATTCTGAGAATCACCTTCAATAAAATTCCCAGTGTGTGTGTGGGCCATGGAGAATACAAACAGAGGTTGATCACAGAGGAACAAATTGTACAAACACAAGATGATACCAGTGGCCCACGGAAGCATAAATACACACCACAAGTTATCAAATACTTGTCACTAAGGTAATACAACTCTGAGAAAAGAAGACATATGAAGGAGGACAAAAACATATAGCCAACATAGATAAAATATCCCCTGTATAGTGACAATACAAACAAGATAACAAAAGAAATAATCACAGCCCCACAAGAAAAAGGAAGAACAAAGAAAGAAGAATAACACCAACATTGTCTCCCCCAGTTAAGGACATGACAGCTGATCAAAGCCATTGAGCATCTGCAGCAGGTTGCTCCTATCTACAGCAGAAAAAAAGAGGTACTGCTTTTTGATTTGCCACTTGCCTCATTCTGCCATTGCAAACTCAGCAGTTGTATGTATGACATTATCTCTTTCTATATAATTGGATTAAGTAGATTAACATTTCAGAGAGCACTGTGAATGTGTGTGTATTGCGATATTTCACCCCTAAGTAGAGGACTGGATGAATTTAAGCAGTATGCAGTGGATGGATCTATTCATCATTCAGTAGATAGGAGATAGTTGGGGTTAATGGCAAATTCTAGCAGTATTGAAAGAGGATGTACAGTGGTTCTGGAAGCCCCTTGGATTTGCCACAGAATCTTCCCCTTGCTCTAAACCTGGGTGCTATGATGTAAGTTTTGGATTTGCACAGTCAGAACAAGAGAGATTTGTTGTTGATGCCCAAGACAGAAAGAGTCTGGTTCCTTCCAGAGCTAAGCTGATTCAGCTGGGTCAAAAAAACCCAAAAAGCAGAAAATAATCTGTTACACTATTACAGTATAAAGCTATACTGCACTTAAAAGTGCATCTGTATTGCAGAACACCACACACGAAAATAGCAAAGCTTGATTCAAACCTGCCTTTTGTCTTACACACTTAGATGCTCAATGTGGATATCTGAATATACCCAGTATGGGTAACAGTACTGGACACAGAAAATGTGCTTTTCCACTGCATGTTTCAAATGGTAATTCCCATAATGATAATGAATAGTGAAAGGAAACCATAGAGTAGCCTGAGCATTAGTCTTTTTCTGAACAGTTGTTAAGACCAGGTGTTAGCTGCCAAAGCTAGACTGTGTTTGTAACTGTAACTTCACCCGAACAAAATCACAGAATCACAGAATGTTTGAGGTTGGAAGGGACCTGCAGAGGTCATCTGGTTGAACCCTCCTGCTCAAGCAGGGCTACACAGAGCCAGTTGTCCAGTACTGTGTCCAGTCGGCTTTTGAATATCTCCAGGGATTGAACCACCACAACCTCCCTGAGCAACCTGTGCCAGTGCTTGGTCACCCTCAGAATAAAAAGGTGTTTCCTGATGTTCAGGGCAAACGTCCTGTGTTTCAGTCTATGTCCATTGTAACTAGTCCACTGGGCACCACTGAAAAGAGCCTGGCTCCGTCCTGCTATGCACCCTCAGGTATTTATAGACATTGATAAGATCCCCCCTGAGCCTTCTCTTCTCTAGGCTGAACAGTCCCTACTCTTTCAGCCTTTCTTCATAGGAGAGATGCTCCAGTTGTCTCATCATCTTCATGGCCCTTTGCTGGGTTCTCTCCAATATGTTCATGCTATATTGAGGAGCCCAGAAGTAGGCACAGTACTGAACCTTATGAAGTTTATATGGATTTATAAACTTAGTGAATCATACTTTCAGAGGATAGCATTTAGTGGTAAGATTGACTTACTTGCCAGGCTCCTTACTTCAACAAAAAAAAAAAATAAAAAATAAAAAAAAATAAAATAAAAAAAAAAATCATTATCAACACCATCCTCTGCATGGTGGTGAAATCTACAACACAGGATACAAGGCACTGACAGAAATGACTGTGATGGCTAGGATCTCTGCTGGACTGCCGTAAAGGCCAGTCAGAAGTGAGCTTTAGAAGGACTTGTGGAAGAGAGGTGGCAACAGAGAGGAACAGTTGTGTAATCAGGAGTATTTGCCTGCAGGGCTAATGCAGACATAACATCCATGCACTGTGTGGGGCTGGTTGAAAAGCAGCTTTTCACACAAAGGTGTAATAATTGCTTTTGTAATTGAAAACTAACCATAAAAGCTGACATCCATCCACCAACCTAATTATATGTACTCCCTCTGTAGGACGAGGAACTTTGTCAGGAGTCCAACCAACCATTCACTTGGATTGAGAAAGAACTTGTTTTCAACAGCATCTTATGTTAGTGGGATAGACAGAGAGGAAAGCCAGACTGGGTGCAAAAGGCCAAGTAGATGGATAGTAAATGATTGGAGTCATGGTAAAACCCTTTCCCCTACCCACCAGCACTTAGATTCTGTTATTCGTTGCTTAATTGTGAATTATTTGAGAATAAATGTTTTTTTTTTCTGTTATAGAGTTATCTGTAGCATGTTGAAGCTTATTGTTCTCATTCACACCACCTGAGCAGTACTGACAGTATACAACTTTCGCCTTCTACCTCTGGTAAATCCAGGCAGAGTAAAAGCCCCATGAAGCTGAAAACTAGGAAGTTATTTATAAATTAATGAGGACAAAAGGTATGATATCATTTATAAGACACAGCTTACTCTGAGAGCAACAGTTTATGTTTGACGTTTTAAAAAGTAGAATTATCAAATAGATTTTTTTTGTTAACAGTAGTGCTCCTGTTGGTTGCATAGTCATGCACTGGAACTTTCTCATAATCAACCAGGATCCCTCTCAGCTACAAATTGCTCTTGCATCAAACCTGTCACAGTGTTGCAGAGGATCTCAAAATAAACAGGCAATAATTAAAATAAAATTTATTTTAGATAGAATCAATTAACACTCCAGCAGTTATTCATAAACAGCAGAGCCAGAAGTCCATGAGAGGAAAAAGCTATCACTGCACAAAATTCAATAAACTCCTAGGATTTAACAGACAATCCAAAATGCTTAATCACTCACCTAAAAAGTGGGGGGCCTCAATCTCAAGGAGTTGCCTTGGGCAGTGTCCCAACCCAAGGGGAGTCCTCAACTGCAGCACACTCTCCAAAGGGGACAAGCTCAAAATGGGTCCCCCAGGGGACTCCATTAATACCCCAGCCAAATCTGTTCTGTGGTCGATATCAGCCCTTACTGGCTGAGGGCCCCAACTACCATAAAACCCTGAGAACAAGGGCACAGAAAAAGAAATCAACAGGCACTGTGTCTGAGCTGTCAGGAAGGCCTGTCTTCATCCAGGTGGGTGCACCTGTCATACATAGTCACAACTTTATGAGAGCCACAGAGTACATCAGGATTGCAGACTTTACTGTAATAGTATCAGAATCACCCTGAATTAGCTGAGCTGTTTTTAAAACTTACTGACATTAGAAGGAGTTGGGAAGGAAGGGAAATAATGTCCCCCACTAAGCCAGCTGTTGGAGATGTTGGTTTTCTTCCTTGTTTCCCCTAACATAGTTAGGCAGACTGGACATAGTGTCTTCTGCCTTACAAGCCCTTCCTATAGACCACAACTCACCCTTCCACGGAGCAGAATCTCTAACAGAAAGCTTCCATGAGAGCCACATGTCCACTTAAAGAAACCCTACCCCTACAGCTCCTCCATAGAAAAGCCCTGACTTGGTGGGAATTGGCCAAGATTCAAGAGTCAAAAGTCCATTCATCTAAGGAGATGGTATAGTACAAGACCAGTCCAGTTTGTCTAGATATTAGATATTAGTTTGCCCTTGGATGAGTTCACATCTGCTCACAGTGGCAATTTTTCCATATAGAGAAAATGGAGGTATATGGAGGTATCTCAACCTGTAAGAGGTTGAGGTATGGAGGTATCTCAACCTATAAGAGATTTTTCTCTTATTTGACAACACCTTTTCTAGCATGAAGCATAGGAACATCATAATAACAAAGTCCATACTGGGACTTCTACTGCTGGAAATACAGCTTTCAGTGTAGTACAGCCTTTGTGACTGGGGCAAAAAATCTTTGAAGTTACATCATTTATCCTATGAACAGAACCATTTAAAAGCTCCACAGCTCTAAGCTGTAAGCATTTTTGTCCTCAAAAACTTCACAGAAAATATGTGTCTAGAAGAGGGGACTGGTGAACATTTGGTTAGAAAGATGTGAGCTGTGGCTATGCTTTGACCCTTTTTTTTTTTTTTTTTGTGCTCTCAGCGCTAACCATCTGCAAGTCTACCAGCAGCATAATTATGCCTGTTTTACAGTGTACATAAATTAGTATTGGCTCCTCCGTTTTTTCAACCAGGCAGGCAGCCATCTGACTTTTTAATTAAGGATTTTACTGAGACTGATAATAAAGTTCTAATATACTTCCATATTTAATGAAAGTGAATCAGCAGTATAAAATTTTCAAAGGGAAAACATTCACTGAGATTTATCAGTCACCTATGAAGTATAGCTGCAGTGAAGCATGACATCAGCTATGAAAGAAATCCAAGCTGTCTGATATTCTTGCACAGAACTTCATTTTGCAGTGGAAATCCTCTAACGCAATCAAGTCCATTATTTTCCATGAACCTGAGACGTTGTATTCAACTTCTAAACATTTAAAGATGCTGATATCCTGCATAATTTTCAGAACTTCCTGTGAGCTTATGCTCAGCTTCTAGTTAGAGCTTCAGATATTTAAATGCTTAAAAAACTATCACCCTCCCTTATGTCTATAGTAAAAGCTGTATTCATCTCACTAAAATGATTTTTCAATATTCTAAGTAAAAATGTCCATTTAAATTTATGCTTACAGTTTAGCTCAATCTGGGAATTCATGCATGAAACTCAGGCACTGTCAACCATTCTTAAAACTTTTCCAAGTGTATTTCCAGTACAGGTCTATAGTAATTTAGATCAATCAATTAAACTTCTTCAGTTTCCTTCCCACAAGTCTTGAGATTCAGTCTGAACATTCCCAAAGTGGTAGTGAAGCATCAAAGGCTCCTGAGACATGTGGATGTGTACCTTACAGATGTGAACATGTAGTCAGATTACTTAGTAGTAACTCTGCTGGGGTGACTTCTGTGGGGCTGAAGGTAATTTCTCCCACTTTATCAGCTGTGATGAGACACATAATTACATGCCTGTTATCTGCAAAGCAAATTCTTCCTCTTTATCAGTATTTGACAGTGGATGCTTAACAACCTGGTTAATCAAAACCAGATTATACTGCTAGAATTAATGAGGCATTGAAAGAGTTTAATGACTAATGGAAGCTTTTTAAAGCCTGTTTCAAAGGGATTAGTTTAATATTTTTTTCATAAGTAGTAGAGAAATGTTTGGCATGGAAGTTGTAGTTATTCAGTCAAATGAATTTCCCTGGGCCAACGCAACCCTGATCATTCAAAATCTTAGATCTAGTTCATGTTCTTTCGATAGAAAAAATACCTTTAATTTTTCCCATTGTATTAGTTCAGGATTCAGTGTAAAGGATTCAAGGACAGCTGGGAAAAAAACCTCCAACATTTAAATTAGCTCGGACTGAAGTAGAAGAGACTTTATTATTGAAAATAAACTGGATATAATATCTGAATCACAAGATTAAAGCAAATTACTATATGTTGTTAGTGTCAGAGAAGTCGGCCATTTATATGAGGTACTGAATTAGTTTCATCACCTGCTAAATTTATCATTACCACTTGAATCAGAAAAAAAACACATACTTTAGTTAGACAGACTGAGATTCCACATTTTCCTCCTTGGCTGTAAAGACTTCGTGTGCTGTTCTTTGATCTGGATCTTTTCTCAGATTGGGAAAGGGGATCCAAAATACCGTTCAGTCTGTCCAAGGAATGATCACCTGTGTATGCACACAAGTGTAAATGTTCTCCCCTCTTCCTGTGCTGCAAAGTGGTCTCACTGCTTCTGCACTTCCTTGTCCATACTGGGGCATGACAATGGGTCTTTTCAGGTGGTTCTAGGAATCTATTGCCTGACAGTGCAAGCAAAGGCCCAGCAAAATAGAGACAAGCAGGAGACCCACTTCAAAAGTACTGTCTAGTTCTGAACTTGAGGTAAAATGCCTTTGTAATAAGAAACCTCCAGTACTTGGATCCATGGGTCCTTTGCTCCAGGACCCCATATATCTACCCCGAACTTTTCCCAAAAGGTCTGAGCTTTACTTTTTTATGTAGTCTCTACTAACTTCCCAAACATAGCTCAGCTTCACTGACATTGAAATTACTGTTGACTCAAGACTCCTCATCTTATGGGTGAGCACATGAAGAAACTTACATAAAAAATGACACACCTCAGTCACTTGATCCAACAGTGATAGAGGTGAGGAAATTATTCAGAAGCCCATCATTTGAGGACAGGAGGGATGAATACATCGATAAAAGTCTTATGCCATTGTCCACAGGAGTAGGTGTAAGGAAAACCAGATGAAGCCAAATCAGAAATCCATTTAGCCCAAGATGTGGTTCAATACCAAAGAGGACATTTCATAAGCCAGCAAAATGAAGTGAAGGCAATGTTCCCACCACTCTGGAGAGCTGTGTGTGACTGCCTCTCCATGCCTGCCAGCCCTCTAGGGGAGGCAAGACTGACACTGTTCTCTTGCACACTCCAGCCTAGCCTGGTCCCTTCACCCTCATTCTGGGGGAAGGAAAATTCAATTTTGCATACCCTGCTGGGAAGTACTGACCCTATACTGCATAAAAAAATGTTGAAAATAATGATTCTTCTCTGATACATTCTCAGACAGTCAGCAACTGCAGGATATCCTGACCTAGGGGCTAACATGCAATTATCTTTGTCAGAACACTCCTCTGAATCTGCATTGTCATTATTTCACACTAACTATAAACCTCCATTCTGTATTCTGTGGCTACAAGATTCATGCTTTAATTATGCATCTTGTAAATATTGGCCTTTGTTTATTTTAAGACTACCAACATTACCTTGGGGATTCTTAGTTCCTTTGATTCTTCTTGTCTTTCTCAGAACCTTTTGTACTTCTGTTACATCCAGGAATGATTAGGACAATATATAAGAAGAGTTTTTGCTCTGTGGTTTTACACAGCAGCATATTATTTCTCAATTTCCTACAAACTCATAATGCTCTCTTATCTTTTGAATACTGTCAAGCACTGAGACCACATATTTATAAGATGATCTACAGGGAGCTCAAATTTTATTTCCTGAATTTCAATAGCTGGACAAGAACTTGCCACTATGTACTGACAGATCAAGCTGGTTTATGTAGAGTTATTTTCTCCTTTGTATTTAGAGACATTGAACTATTCATAGAATCATAGAATCACAGAGTGGTTTGAGTCGGAAGATCATCTAGTTCCAACCCCCTGCCATGGGCAGGGACACCTTCCACCAGCCCAGGTTGCCCAAAGCCCCGTCCAACCTGGCCTTGAACACTGCCAGGGAAGGGGCAGCCACAGCTTCTCTGGGTAACCTGTGCCCATGTCTCACCACCCTCATAGTAAATAATTTCTTCCTTACATCTAATCTAAATCTACCCTCTTTCAGTTTAAAACTGTTACCCCTCATCCTATCCCTACACTCCCTGATAAAGAGTCCCTCCCCATCTTTCATGTAGATCCCTTTAAGTACTGGAAGGCTGCTATAAAGTCTTCTTGGCACCTTCTCTTCTCCAGGCTGAACACCCCCAACTCTCTCAGCCTGTCCTCACAGGGGAGGTGCTCCAGCCCCCTTGATCATCTTTGTGGCCTCCTCTGGACCCACTCCAACAGGTCCATGACCTTCTTGTGTTGGAGGCCCCAGAGCTGGACACAGCACTGCAGGTGGGGTCTCATGAGAGCAGAGGGGGAGAATCCCCTTCCTCCACCTGCTGGCCACACTGCTCTTGATGCAGCCCAGGATGTTGTTGGCTTTCTAGGCTAAGAGCACACACTGCTGGCTCTTATTCAGTTTTCCATCCACTAATTCTGCAGAACTGCTCTCAATCCACTCATCGCCCAGCCAGTATTTGTGCTTGGAATAATTTTTTTCATGCAATCACCCAACCACTTGGGATTTTTCAGAAATTTTTGCGCTCTTCTCAAGCAGTTCAAGATGCGACTACTGTAAGTAATTTTATCACATCAAAAGTTATTT